TGAATAAAGACTCTTCCACTTTGTTCTCTTGATATGTATTTAGTTTGGTTGGTTTTTCCTTTGTGTATCATCATGTAGTCTTGTATTCTGTTCCCAGCGCTGTTACAGTTCTAATCCAAAATGAAAAAAGCAATATCACTGTTTGAAATCCATTATTATTATTATAATAATTATTATTATTCCTCATTACCACCATAGGTGTATTAACTGAAGTAAATATCTTTTGTACAAACACATTACCCCTGTACTCTGCATTTATTTGAGTATTTCTGATGTCAGGAATTTGAACCCATGTTCAAGCAGCACAAAGCATGTGCAAACTAATAATTTGCATGATTTGTAAATGTTTTTGACTACAACAGTTATATATATGCATACATATATCTGTTATAGGGATATTTTAAGGGTCTAAATGAAACCACAACATACAAAAGTTTCAAAAATAAGCATGTACAGCTAGAAATACCACACTTCCACACAAACAGAAGACAGTAACTGAAATTTTTTTAAATTAATTTTTTATAAAGTATATAACCAGAAGGCACATTTAAATTGATTTATTGTAATTTCAGCAAATCTCCAAATCCATTCCAATTTCAGATTGAGCCCACAGCTTGTGTTAGCAGCCTACATCCTTAACAGTTAGCCAACCACGACTCCAGAACATTTCCACCAATCTTGAATTTGAACCAAAGTGACTAAATTACACTTTAATTTACTTTCGAGTGACATACATTTATTTTGTACACAATACTTGTCAGTTATTCTAAAACTTAAATTAGGGGCTCAGGTGAAATGAAGCCAGACTAATAATTATAAACCAAGGCCGTTTTTTACCAAGGGCCTTTGTACAAAATAATGCCATCAGTGTTTACTAGCAGTTTAAATACATCATGCTCCATAATCATATTACTTTGAATACAGTTTAACAAATGAGGTAGAGCAAACAGTTATAGCTACAACCAACGGCATCCATTATGACAGATAAACCATTTTCAGATGTTCCATTATCAATAAATATTCAAACGTTAAGGATCAAATAGTCTGAATCCTTTTATATTATATATATATGTATATATACACACACATATATTAGTGCTGTCAAACGATTAATCACATCCAAAATAAGTTTACATGTGTGTGCTGTGTATATTTATGTATATATTAATACACACACAAGCATGTATACATTTAAGAAAAATACATTTTATTCATATATAAATATATATATATATATACAGTGGGGCAAAAAAGTATTTAGT